GTCATACTGAGTACTAAACCAACTCCAGATTCTGCCTAAATTAGTCTGCTTACTTGAGCATCCTAACCAGCATCTTAATGGTGGCATATACAGGTGTATCTTGCACAATACATGTAGAGTGATCTCTTCTTGGTCATTGCAGAATGGATGGATCATGCTGATGGTGGCAGTAGCGGAGTTCTGTATGTGGAACTGTTGAAGAGGTGCAATAATGCATCTAGAGTAGTGTTTCCCAACCTAGTGGTCGGGACCCCTGGAAGCATTGCACACAGCATCTATTGGTCATGGGGGTTCTGTGTGGGAAGTTTGACCCAACTCTATCATTGGTGGGGTTCAGAAGGCTCGTTGATTGTAGGTGAACTATAAATCCCAGCAACTACAACTCCCAAATGACAAAATCAATTCCTCCCACCAAGTATTTAAATTTGGGCGTGTTGGGTATTTGTGCCAAATTTAGTCCAGTGAATGAAAATACATCCTGCATATCAGATATTTACATTACACTTCATAACACTTCAATAAGCAAAATTAGCAAAATGACAGTAGCAAAATTAGCAAAATGACAGTTTTGGTAACACTTTCTTAGCCGGAATCACTGTTGTAGGTTTTTCGGGCTATATGATCATGTTCTAGAACATGGCCATATAGCCCGAAAAACTTACAAGACTTCTAAAATTACCGTTGTGAAGTAGCAATGAAAATAATTTTATGATTGGTGGTCACCACAACATGAGGAACTGTATCACGGCATTAGGAAAGTTGAGAACCACTGATCTAGAGTATGGTGTCAGTGTGTATTTCAAGTGGCCTGTGCACATTCCACTATTGTGTAATGAGTTGAGAGCTATGTACATTCACTGTTACTCATATGTTGTGATATGGTGATATTCAGTATGGGGATTGTACAGTGCAAGCATACTATAATCCTTCCACTAGATACTTACTCTACACTGAGATAATATGTCCTGTACAGGACTGCCTCCAAAATGGTAGAAGTGGTAGTAATGTATGTGGCAAATGTTGGCTGTTAGGCAGTTTTGACATTGCAACCTAGACTTACAGCCTTGTAACTGTTTGGTATTCAATTGTATGATCATGGCACCATTGCCACAATCTCAGACACCTCCCAAACCCACCTTAAAATCCAGACAGCCTTAATGAGTGACAGAATCATAGAACAACAAACATAGGGGGGTCCTTGTTTCTCTTTTCCACTACTTGCAGGCACGAAGGGAGCTTGACACATCATGTTTCATCACTTCACTTACCAGCTCTGCATAACTCAGGCTGGATCCACATTGCCATATAATCCAGATTATCAAAGTAGCTAATCCAAATTGAAAGCAAATAATTTTGATTTGATCTGTCATATAATCCAGTTTAAAGCAAATAATCTAGATTTTATATGGCAGTGTAGATGGGACCTCAGTACAGCTACATGAATTTTAAAATGGGTTTGGAGGATCAGATCAGGAGGCGGAGTATAGTCACAACTTTGCAGCTACGTGTCTGATATGTTATCTCGGTCCTTGTTTATTTTCTTATATGTTTGTGCTCTGTGCACATATGCGTGTATACATGTGTTTGTGTTTCTGCATTTTGAGCGCTGTGGCTTTTTATTGTCATTGCAAGCATGAAGTCAATGAAGAATATATTTCATGATTAAGAACAAAGTAATGTTGTGCAGCCTCATGTACATATGTTTGAGACAACCAGGAAAAAATGGGACTAATAAAATGCATCAAGTATTTTGGGTGGGTGGACGACAAGACATCCCAACTCTTCAGAGCACACAGTGTAAGATGTATTTGTGTTTTTGAACCGTGCTCACATGATTTGATTCAAGGGTTGGGAAAGAACTTTGATTAGTTAAAAGCAGCAGCAAGGTCTTGAGGGAGTGTTTGAAAGAGTTTGGAGCCGGGAGAGGTGACTCTTAACTGCTGTAGCAATTTCAGACTATTCTTCTGTAGTGGGACAAAAGCCTTTTCTTTTCCCCTCCCACGTTCAAAGAGACATTTGTCTCCAGACTTTGCAGCTGTGAGGCCATGGGGGTGCTTGTTTGAAGATACCCCTCCATAGACCAGAGTAGACCAGAGGAGAGGCGGCACACCAAACAGTGGTGTAGTATTTATACCCTTCCCTTCCCTCCCTCCCTCCTTCTCTCCCTCCCTCCTCCCTCCTTCCCTCCTCCTCTACTACCATGTGCAGTTTTTAATCAGAAGAAGAATGTGGAGGAAACCTTTTCAAGGCAAGGGGAAATTTCCTGTTTTCTTTTCTCTGTTTGTTTAATAAAGTGTGCCATTGACTTTTAGAACTGTTGCGAATGAGTAATTGTGAGAAGTGCTTGCCTAACGCCTTGATGCATTTTTATATACTGTTGGAGAAGATGTTTAAATCCTTTTCTTTCTCTTTTTTAAAGAAGAAGACGAACAGCATGACATAGGCAAGTGAGATTAATAAGAATTAGGCAAATGGCTTCTTCGGCTTTTGTTTCGGCCAGATAGTACCAGCCGTCTTGCAGCCATACAAAGGCTGCCATTTACTAGAGAGTACTCCCTAATTCTCTTGGCAGGGGTGCCATTGGAATCGGATACAAGTGGGTGGCAATGGGGAGGAGCTGCCAAAGAGGACAAGCAGGCTTTGTGTAATTTTTTTTCTTTTTCAAAAATGCAACAAAAGCACTTTATATATTGAGCTGGGTGCAACAAGCTGTGCATCTTGTGAGTCAGGGTGGAGTAGTTCTGAGTTCAGTGTACATAAAAAAGCCCTCCCTGTCAGCAGCCCCTTCCTTAAAAGCAATGGAGCGTTGGCTAAACTCCACTGAAAACTAGGAGGGCCAGAAAATATTTATTGAGCAATGCTGCCAATAGTTGGCTTTATAATGGGAAGCTTCGGGGAAGAGAAAGCAGGGCATCTTCATTTTGAAAACGGTTCTGGAGCACCTTGTTGATATTCTGGTCAAATAATGAGATTCAGTTTCCATCCTATTGTTGTTCACAGCTCTCCTGTATTTGGGAATGAATTCCCACTAAATAGTATGCCCCTTTAGTAAAGTAATTTGCTCTGCCTTTAGTGCTACACACACACACACACACACACATACACACACTGTGTTTCCCCGAAAATAAGACACTGCCTTATATTTAGTTTTTCTGAAGAAGACACACTATGTCTTATTTTCAGGGGATGTCTTATTTTTATTAAGTATGGTACAACAGTCTGTATTTATTCAAATATAGTGCTGAGTAAAACAGTAGCCACAGCTTTACTTCCTCCCCCTGAGGACACACAATACCTAAAGCAGAGTGTCCTGCTCCTCACTGAGGAGACTTCCCATGGGACGGGCCAAAGGAAAGCAGCACCACCAACCACGGTCCAGTTGCAGCTGGTTACTCACTCCATCTCTCACTCACTCAGGGAGGAAGCCTTGCCATGCCTGGCATGGCCTGAAGGGAAGAAAGAACAGAACGAGAAGGAGGAGAAAAAGGAGGAGGAAAATGTGGGGAAGGAGGAGGCAGCAGGAAGTGAGAGGAAGGGAGGCCCGGACTCGCCGCCACCACTGCAGAAAGTTCTTGCATTTCACTTTCTAAGTCTCCCTCTATGCATCAGCATGTATCACTATGTCTTATTTTCAGGGTATGGCTTATATTGCGCAAATGCTTAGATATCCTGCAACACCTTATTTTATGGGTATGTCTTATGTTTGGAGAAACACGGTATATACACACACAACAACACACAAACATGGTATACACACACACACTAATTTATCTCTTTTTCCTTTGTAGAGTCCTGAGAGCTAGTATGATGTAGTGGTTTGAGTATTAGACGATGGCTTTGTAGACCAAGGTTCAAATCTCACTCAACCATGGAAACCCACTGGGAGACCTTGGGCAATTCACAGTTCCTCAGCCTCAGAGAGAGGTAAAGGCAAGTCCTCCTCTGAACAAATCTTGCCACCCCCCCCCCCATGATGGGTTTGCCTTAGAGTTGCCATAAGTCGGAAATAACATGAATGTACACATCAAAAACAATATAGCCCTGTAGATTGGTACCCATGTCCTAAGCCCATGATTCTCAACCTGTGCGTCCCCAGGTGTTTTGGCCTACAACTCCCAGAAATCCCAACCAGTTCACCAGCTGTTAGGATTTCTGGGAGTTGGAGGCCAAAACATCTGGGGATCCACAGGTTGAGAACCACTATCCTAAGCCAAAGTACTTCGAGATGTTAAGATATTTGTAGGAAGCACTTTTAAGGCTTCACAATTCAATCAAATGTGATTTAATAAACACATCTCAAAAGTTACAATTCATTCTGATTTTTCATTCAGAAATAAGTCACACAGAGTTCTTTGTAATTGTGCTGAAAACTCTAGCCAAAGTCATTTATTTTTAGATTGTTATGTTCATCATACATTTGAGCTCTTTTGTTTGATTTTTTTTACCCGCTCTAACCGCTGTGTTTACATTCTGATACAGTATGTGTGATTGTAAAAGCCTTTAAACTATAATCCATATTCAACTGCACTATGTATCTGTGTTGCCAGTGGTGTGATGTAGAAATCAAACATTTCAAATAATACAGTTGGGCATGTATTACTTCACATGATTTTAGACTTCAGATCTTTAGCATGTGTGTGTGTGTATGTGTGTTTATTCAAATGTAGTTACTGGTACATCCTGTTCCCCTTTACTCTACTTTCAAAGTTTGTTTCTATGGAAGTTGAAATAATTGACTCCATCCAGTTGTTCTGAGTTTTGAGAGAAAAGTGTTCTTCAACATTAACCATATTCCCTCATAATATATATCTTTGCAATATGGGAAAAAAACTCTAGTAGTAACTTGGTAATGTCTACAAAGCCAGGCTCATTGCCTCATTCATTAGGTGGCAAAGATACAGATGTTTTGTTTGGAGGTGAAGAAAATTTCTCTTGGCCTGCAAAGTTACTTATGTAATCAGATAATACGTCTTGTTAAAAAATTCCTGTTTTCTTCACAGGTTTTTTTATTGCAGATACCAACCCCACCTGCAATATTATTAGTAAGTGTTTAAGCTCTGATTACAAATTACTGTGGGATATGGGGAGTGATATATTGTATACTGTAACAGGCAGTGACTGTCTGAAGCCATTGTCCTGGTGGGGAGCCCAACCTCTATTGCCTTCCCATTTACTTCTCTATTCTGCTTTTGACAGTAACAACACAAGGCTGTCATTAAGCGGTAGTCTCAGTCCCGGAGACTGTTCATCAGAGTCAGTTGTACAGTAGGAACTCTTTATTAAACCAGGAAAGGGGTTAATCTGGACAGAGCAATTCGGGGGCGCTGGATTGCAAACCTTTCAGTTTTTTATGTGTTTTCCCCTTTAATCCTGGTTATCTGCTTAGGGCAAGCTTCTTTCACTTACCCAAATCATCTCAGCGTTCTGCTGTGCATACTGCGACACAGTTGCACTTCCATCTGGATGAAATTCTGAAAGAAGCATTGCTTTGCAGTAAATGGGAAATACAAAGGGGTGGATACAAAACAGTTGCCGGTTATTAAATTTCAAACATCTTATTGAGCTTTCTGCCTGCCTTTCCACTTTGTGATATCTCTTAAACACTTAGGGCAGAAATGGGCTTTTGCAACGATTCCAACAACTTAAAAAAAGTAAACCCAAATTATTTATTATTTATTTATTTACGTCACTTTTATCCCACCCATATCAGCCCGAAGGCGACTCAGGGTGGCGTACAAATTGACACAATTAGATGCCATATAAAAATACATAAATCGGTTAAAAGCAAAAAAAATCACATTACAATACATTTTAAAACCGTAAAAGCAATAACAATAAAAATTATAAAAACTATGTCTTCTTGTTCAAATCCTCAACCGTTCCATCATCTTAGCAGTTCCTAGTTCATATTCCAGTTTGAGTTTATCTGGTCATGCTGAAGTTCCAAACGCTTGCTCAACGAGTCAGGTTTTCACTCTTTTTCGAAAGGCCAAGAGGGAGGGGGCCGATCTAATATCCCTAGACAGGGAGTTCCACAGCCGAGGGGCCACCACAGAGAAGGCCCTGACTCTCATCCCCGCCTGACGTGCCTGTGAAGCAGGCGGGATCGAGAGCAGGGCCTCCTCAGATGATCTCAACTTCCTGGAAGGCTCATAGGGAGAGATGCATTCGGATAGATAACAAAGATAGATAATTATACATTCCTTAAGCCAGTTCAGAGCATTATAGGGACTCCTCGCACATAGTCTTGTCCTTTCTTTCCACTATTTCTGCTACTCTTCCCATGCTTTATTATTATTATTATTATTATTATTATTATTATTAAATTTTATAACCCGCCACCATCTCCCCTCAGGGAGTCGGGGTAGCTAACATGAGGCCAAGCCCAACAAATATAATAAACAAAATACAATACATACAGCAAATAATAACTCAAACAAAATACAAACAATAAAAGAAAAAAATAACACAGTGGGGTAAAACATCGGGTATAGGGTAAGATGAGAAGTTAAAAACAGATTTGAATCAAATTCCAAGTCCAAACCCTTGTGCCGTCAGGACTGCTGACCAATAGGTCAACAGTTCGAATCAGGGGAGAGTGGGTTGAGCACCCTCTGTCAGCTCCAGCTCCCCATGTGGGGACATGAGAGAAGCCTCCCACAAGGATGGTAAAACATCAGTTATCTGGGCGTCCCCGGGGCAACGTCCTTAGATGGCCAATTCTCTCACACCAGGAGTGACTTGCAGTTTCTCAAGTTGCTCCTGACATGGGAAAAAAAGGCATGACCACGTTGACTTGGTGAAAAAGATTATAAGGTGTCTCTAGGAACTGCCAACATCTTCTTGTAGCTGCAATCTCACAGTCCATATTTCTAATTTGTTTTACTAATTTGTTTGTTTGGGTTTGGTCTAAGGTTAGAGTTATGTGAACTAACATAGTACCGGGTTGTTGTAGGTTTTTTCGGGCTATATGGCCATGTTCTAGAGGCATTCTCTCCTGACGTTTCGCCTGCATCTATGGCAAGCATCCTCAGAGGTAATGACTACCTATGAGGATGCTTGCCATAGATGCAGGCGAAACATCAGGAGAGAATGTCTCTAGAACATGGCCATATAGCCCAAAAAAACCTACAACAACCCAGTGATTCCAGCCATGAAAGCCTTCGACAATACATTAGTATAGAACTGTTTCACTGAAGACCACTAGGCCATAGTGAATACCCCAGTATATTGTACCATATGCTATATACTTAGGGTTTGATCCAGATTTGGTGCAATCAACTGGTTTGGCAGAAGCAAACTAATCTGCCCCCTTCCATCTCCTGAAAATCCTGCACAGATGGACAAGAAACACTACTGAATGGGATAAGCTTCAGGGAGTGGAAAGATCCTCCTAAATTGAGGAGAAGGACATGGAAGGCAGAACTTGGATCCAGCTCATTGATAGGGAATTCATCAGAACCAAAGCGTCACGCTTTCACAGTTTTGTATCACTTTTCTTTACCTTTCCCTTAAGTCAACAGTGGGAATCATGCAATCATCAAAATACTGTTGGACTGCAATTCCCAGCATCCAAGCCACTGGTGAGAAATACTGGGAGCTGTACTCCAGCATCTTCTGAAGAGTCACAAGATTTCCACCTCTGCCTTGGATATTGCTTTTCCCTTCCTCTAGCAGTTACTTGGATTCTTTTAAATATCTGATCCTTTCAGGTTAAGACTCTGGGGTGTTATCTCAAATGCTGAGTCAAGTGCACTTAGCCTATAACTCATCTTTCATCCTCTTTCTCTCTCAGAGAATTTTAAGGCTCAACAAATCTCTGATTCATAAGTGTTTTAAAGCACTATAAAAAGGAGAAGAAACAATTCTGTGTACTGATAAATATAGTACTTAGATTTAATGATGGAGAAAAATCAAATGACATCCATCTTGATTTTTTGAAGATTTGTATAATTAGCAGACATACCTTCTTGCATTTTAGTATTTTTTTAATGGATTTCAATCACAGGTGAATTAAATCTCACAAATACAGAGTCTTTCCAAAGTTTAAAACCATTCGCTTTGACTCTCCAGTGCTGAACAATCGAATGTTTATCAAAGCAGCCATCTAAAAGAACGCTTCCGTGAGAATGGAGGAAGTTCCTGGCTTAAGGGGGGGAGGTAGTCCTAAAGTAATTAATAAGTTCTTTCAGTGCTTAGATAGAATTGCAAAGAATTCAATAGCATGTGTTACAATTGAACCTGAACCGTGGCCCCGAGCCTTTAAGAGGAAAATCCAGTAAAATAATGCCGTTTTCTTTGTCAACAAAGCAATCCCTCGGGGCAAGACTTTCAAAAGTGCCCTTTACTATTTGAAGTTCCTGGCCTGTATCACATGTAGCCTCAGCTATTTGTGTGCATATTGAGGTTCGTAGCAATTTTCAGAATGGATCGAAAACGTAGGAGGCTTAGCCAGCCATAGAAATTCAAGCTGTGTTCCAAAGAGCTTTTCAGGTAAACTCAAAAGTTCGTACTCGCGTAGTAGGATTTGGGAGGAAGTATATTCTTCCAACTTCAAAATCTCTTGTTCCATATCACACAGTCTTTATGGATTGCATTCATTCTTACATTTCTTACACAGAAATTTTGAAATCTCCAAGTAAAACGTTCAGAGAAAATTGTGATGAATCTGAGACAAAGAGTACTTCAACGCCTCTATCTTTTGTCTAAAGCTGCATCTCCACAACACAGTAGATTCCATTTTAACTGTTACGGATTTGCAGTTAAAGGAAGGGTGTCATTTGGTATCACTTGATATCAGATTGCTATAATTCTGCTGTGTGTATATACTCTTAAACCGAAGCAACAGATTAAAATGTCAAAGAGAGAGAAGACACATTTAGCATTGCGTAGAAAAAGTTTTGTTAGGCAGTGCTCTCTTTTCCCAAGCCTAAACAAAAGACTCTTCCTTAACATCTGGTATTGTTAATTTTGTTTATTACTGTTGTCTTGGTGTGTTAAATCCGTCCTGTCTCCATATCGAGTTGTGTTTCTTGTAGCTGAAAATTTCACTTTAAAATAGCAATGTGAAAATAGATCGTTGTACACTTAGATGTAACAATCAAAACAATAATCATTTCCATTTTGAAATGTTACGGAACTTGGGTTTTCTTTGTATTCAGAGATGAAATTGATTAATATTATTACATATTGATTTGTATTCCACTCTCATCTCTGTAGTTGAGACACAAAGTGTAGCTTGGGCCACATCTGAACCCATAAGAATATTTTGGTGGCTCACGACTCCTCTAAAGAATGAGCTTTGTTCTGTCCATCAAAAAGTAGGGTGAATTGCTATGCCTGAAAGACCTGCTTCATTTGCTCACCTTTGCTCAAATGCATGTGCTGGGACAGTTTTGTTAAAACTAAGCAGATGGGAATTTTATCAATGCATTGTTTTCCAATGCTTGGAACAGTTCCTAAAACTACAGGTTTTAGAATCCTCATGGATTCTGTTTGAGGAAATCATTTAGGAGTTGCAGCCCAGAAAAAGTAACTTTTCCAAGCTCTTCCAAGAACCCTAGGTGACCAAATATTAGATTATAGATCTGTGGACAGTTACCTGAGTAGGAGCCCCCAGTAGCGCAATGGATTAAACCCTTGTGCCGGCAGGACTGAAGACCAACAGGTCGCAGGTTCGAATCCGAGGAGAGCATGGATGAGCTCCTTCTGTCAGCTCCGGCTCCTCATGCGGAGACATGAGAGAAGCTTCCCACAAAGATGGTAAAACATCAAAACATCTAGGTGTCACCTGGGCAATATCCTTGCAGATGGCCAATTCCCTCACACCAGAAGCGACTTGCAGTTTCTCAAGTTGCTCCTGACATGAAAAAAAGTTACCTGAGTGAGACTTGTTAATGAATTGAGAGCTGTGGAATTTCACTGTTAAGCTATCTAAAGGAAAATTCAGAATAAAAACTTTGGGAGTTAAGCTTGAGAATACAGCAAAAACAGCATATTACAGTTTCAGATAACCCCATGTCTGTATTGATTTAACCTTTACGCTCCATTTTGTTGCAGGTATTCGCCCACAAATCATGAATGGCCCTATGCATCCTCGTCCATTGGTGGCTTTATTAGATGGAAGGGATTGTACAGTGGAGATGCCAATTTTGAAGGACTTGGCTACTGTTGCGTTCTGTGATGCGCAATCAACTCAGGAAATCCATGAAAAGGTAACATGATTTTGTCTCCTGCAAATTGAGTTACAAAGGAAGGTATAAATGCCTGGTTTTATGCTTCTACTGAAACACCACACAAATAATAGAAAAGAATTGATTTTAAACATAAGTTTCTGCTCTCTGATGATAGTCAGTCTGAGATTGTACTTGGACAAACTGTACATAAAAGACTTAGATGGTTCGAGTCCCTAAATTCACAGAAAGGGGGTTAAAATAAAGTAAATAAAAAAAAGGTATAGAAAAATAATATTCCTGAAACAAAGGACCTTAGGGAAATGATAGAGAAGAGACATTTGAGTGGAGTCCATCAAGGGGCAACGGTGGTGCAGTGGGTTAAACCGCTAAGCTGCAGAACTTGCTGACCAGAAGGTCGGTGGTTTGAATCTGCAGAACGGGGTGAGCTCCCACTGGTAGCCCCAGCTTCTGCCAAGCTAGCAGTTCAAAAACATGCAAATGTGAGTAGATTAATAGTTACTGCAGTCATGTTGGCCACATGACTTAGGAGATGTGTATGGACAGCACCAGCTCTTTGACTTAGAAATGGAGATGAGCACCACCCCCCCCAGAGTCAGACTCGACTAGAAACCTTTACCTTTACGTTTTACATCAATTATGTTTTAAATATTTAGATCTACAACAGTCATCTTGAAGATTGATTTTATACTCGTTTGTATACATGGTTGATTGTCCTGTTAGCATTATTTCCTTTTCATATTTCTACTGATATCTTGAGTCTCATAATCAACGAGGGATAGACCTGGGATCGAGATTCCTGAGCACATTAAAAATGTCTTTGGTGGCATCTGTCAGACCCTGGAAGATCTCAGAAACAAAAGTACGTTCACAAAGGCTGATTCTTGGAAACAGCTTTATTTTTCCTTCTTACCAAGGAGAAACGAAAGCTAGTTCTGACTATTTCCCCACCAAACTGGTAGTATATCATCTAGCTGACCCATGACCCCTCCTACTATCTACTTCTAACGGCTACATTCCATTCTCACAGAACATGCTACAATTCCCAGGTCGTCCCCCACCCCCCAGTCCAGATGGCTCTTATCAGAAGCCTGTGCTTTACTCCCATCCCAATCAAACTGGCATGGAGTGGATGAAGCAGCTTGTCGGTTTAGCTGGTATGGACACATCCTGACAGCATCTCTCTTGATGTATTTAATAGATGCATGTGTTAATTAAATTTCTTCTGGAACTCTTGGAGACATGACTTTGTGGAAAACACTGACACAGATTACTGTTACTAGATATTTCTTACTGGTGGTAAATACCACAAAAAATTATATAGGCGGAGAAGCAGTCCAGCATCCTTTCATCTCCAATTGTAGAAGTGACCCGTAAAAGCAATTTTATCCAAACTATATCTGGCAGCAATTCTCTCTAGGCTGACTTTGGGACTCCTGGGCTTATAGGTTCTGTGTGAGGCCAATAGAATATAGATTTCTAAGGATCATATAGAACAGGGGTCCTCAAACTAAGGCCCTGGGGGCCAGATATGGCCCTCCAAGGTCATTTACCCAGCCCTCGCTCAGGGTCAACCTAAGTCTGAAATGACTTAAAAGCACACAACAACAACAATTCTATCTCATCAGTCAAACGCAGGCCTACCCTTTCCATTGAAATACTAATAAGTTTATATTTGTTAAAATTGTTCTTCATTTTAATTATTGTCTTGTTTTTAAGTGTTTTTTGCACTACAAATAAGATGTGTGCATAGGAATTCATTCATTTTTTTTTTCAAATTATAATCCGGCCCTCCAACAGTTTGAGGGACTGTGACCTGGCCCTCTGTTTAAAAAGTTTGAGGACCCCTGATATAGAATATAAGCAAAGAAGGAAAATCAGAGTGTGAAAGCATGACCCATTCCCACCTCCCATAGCTTTAACAGTTGTGCAAGCTGATTAGCAACAGAGAAAAAAATAACTTTCTCAGTCCGTTCTCAGATTTCCTGTCTTTTTCCAGCCTCAAACTGCCAAGTTAATGTAAAAAGTATCAGGCAAGGTCAGTAATACAAATTAACCCATATTCAGCTCCTGGACATAATGCTAAAAGAGGACTCCAAAACCTATCTGCCTGCTTGGATTTCAAAACCATCTCCAAAAACTACTAAACCAGTGGATTGAAAAACTTGGCTAATATTGTTCGATAGCCTTTAAAATGTGTAGCTAAGAAGAAAGGAGTTAATGCCAGTTATGTAGCTAATGCTGGAGCGGTGTGGCTTGAATTTAGTGCATTTGTGAATAGCTTTCAGTAAAACACAGCATGTGTCCATGAAGAATGGATTTAGCTATTCTGGACTGATCGATTCTCTTAAATGATACAAAATCAATAGATGAAAGCAAAAAGCATTAATGCGTAAAAGTAGATCAAATATACTTGGATTTCATCTAAACATTAGACAACTGTTTTCCAGTAACTCTTTGAACCTGTCTCAGTTAGAGACCTTATTGAAGAGACTGGTAAATGGCAGGAACGGAAATGATGCCTTGTGTTCTGCGCCAGAATAAACTGCTTGGTGAAGCAACTTAAGCTCGAACTACACAGAAGAATGTGTAACATTGGTTAACGTATAATTTTTTGCATTCAACAAAAGAGCAATACAGGTTGTGGAGGTGCCTAGTCACTTTTCCGCTGACTATTGTTTTCTGTTTGGAACATACAAACTGCCTGTCTAGATCATATCATAGACCTGGCTAGTCCATCATTTTGTTTACAGAACGCCGCCCTATTGCAAAATCTGTCAGCACGACAAATAACAACCTCACCTTCTTGTCTTGTATCTCCCCAGCAGTTGACATATGGTGTCAGATACTATATATGAATTTAACTCCTATCACAACTGTCTTCTCCCTACAGAATCCCAAATTTGTGTTGGCATTTTTTAAAGTTACAGGAGTATTCAAAGAATGTTTCACACAAGTCTCTGTGTAACATCTAAGCCCATGTTGAGCATATTTAGTAAGAACTCCTCAATAAGGCTACATATACACATGGAGTTCAGTTCATTTGAACATAACATAAATATTAGAGATTCTGACATTTAGAAAATCAGAAAGTTTGGAAAATCTATAATTAAGACATTTTTCAAGCTGTTACAGTTAGAGAATGCTCACAACAAAATCTCCTAAAATGCAGAAGAAACTATGTGCGCTTTGTGGTGTTAGCTTTATAGAGTGTCACTAACTTGTACAGTGTGGCATTTAAATATCAAAATCTAAACTCTAAATTTATCAAAGGAGAAGGTATTTTATAGTTCTTTTCAAAACCTGTGAAGTTGATCCTGGTAAAGATTCTTAATTAAGAGGTATGTGTTTGGTAGGCTTTGTGTTGCCTGTTGACTTATGGAGACCTCATGAATATCATAGAGTTTTCTTTGGTGATGTGGTGGTTCCTCCCCTTGAAATATAGGCAACAGTACCTGGTGTTGAACTGCACATTTAACTTCCTTTGTTGTCTTCTTTATTCTAAACTAAGCATGTATAACTGCCAGTGGAGGTTACCTCCCTCCCTCTCTCTTTACCATCCTATCCATACTTCTCTTTCCTTTCCTTCCCCTTCCTTCCTTCCTTCCTTCCTTCCTTCCTTCCTTCCTTCCTTCCCCTTCCATTTTGTGAGGAGAGAAAATTTTGAGAGGGACAAGTCGTGGTTACATGTATGGTTCCATGTGTCCAGTGGTTCCAGTCCAGATCAAAGTCTAGCACATTTTTCAGAGCATGGAAACCCATTGGTTTGAGGAACATGTCCTCTTTTCCAACACCATTCTAGGTTGGGTGACTCTCGGAATCTTATTAGGGGCTTGGCTTCAATCATCTTCCCCACTTCTCCATGCAGAGATGGATAAGGAGAGCTACGCTGGCTCCTGCAAGGGTCAGTGAGCATGTGGTGTTTTTATCTGCCAGTCAACATCCAAATTGGGAAGACAGTGACAACCAAATTCCCATTCCTTTCTCTGATCAGTCATACAAGAGAACAGGGAAGGGTTGCTGTGAGTTTTCCAGGCTGTATGGCCATGTTCCAGAAGCATTCTCTCCTGACATTTTGCCCACATCGATGGCACGCATCCTCAGAGGTTGAGGGATGCCTACCATAGATGTGGGCATAATGTCAGGAGAGAATGCTTCTGAAACATGGCCATACAGCCCAGAAAACTCACATCAACCTAGTGATTCTGGCCATGAAAGCTTTTGACAACGCATAGAACGGAGAAGATTTCTTTGGACATCTCCTGAATGAAAGGGCAGTGATTCTTTCTGTCCCTTTCAGTTTAGCAGAGGTAGATATTTGATACAAGGTTGGGAGCCACTTTTCAGACTAGGCATGGACCACACTTCTTTTTGTTTTTTTAACTTGGTGGGTAGCTAAAACATGTGTGTATGCGTGTGCGCGCACGTAAACAAATTCAAATTGAGTTTAATTAATGTGCTAATGATACTGAATTTTAAAATTCTAAATTAAGAAAGGTACTGAATATCCTATTGACTATAGTGCATTTCTCCATTGATTCTAGCACATTTAGCACATGTCATTTTTAAAAAATGAGTGCATCTGCAGAAGAGGGCTTTTGGGGCTACATTTCTGGTGCCCCTGCTCCCTATATAATAAAGAGAAACCAGAAAGAGAGCTGTGTGCAGTTTGATTCTGTAAGATGTTTAGTTTGGTTAAGCCACTATTCTGCATCCCTCTTGTTCCTTCTAAAAGGTCTGAGGGGATTGGGAATTGGAGGCACTGTGCTGCAGTGGTTCTAGTCATACCTCTCAGGAGATACTGCTCCTCAAAAAAGAAGCTGTTATATGGCATTCCTCAAGGGGTCATTCTATCCTCGGTGCTTTTTAACATTTATGTGAAACCCCTGAGTGAGATCATCTGGAGACAGGGAGTGGGGTGCTATCCGTATGCTGACGACACCCAAATATATTTCTCCATGCCTTCGAAAACAGCTTTAGCGGAGGATAGTGTTTCGCCTCTGAATGCAGGAGGCAATGGG